TGCTGATGCAATGTATTGCCTTGGAAATTGTTATCAAAATGGAATAGGAGTTGATAAAAATGAATATAGAGCATTCGAATATTACCAGAGATCTGCTGAGATGGGAGATTCTAATTCTATGAAAGAAGTCGGCTATTGTTATCAAGAGGGAATAGGAGTTGAAAAAGATGAACACAATGCACTCGAATATTACCAGAAATCTGCTGATATGGGGAATGCTGATGCAATGTATTGCCTTGGAAATTGTTATCAAAACGGAATAGAAGTTGATAAAGATGAACATAGAGCATTCGAATATTACCAGAAATCTGCAGAGATGGGAGATTCTGATTCAATGAATAAAGAAAGTTGGCAATTGTTATCTCTATGGAACAGGTGTTGAAAAAGAAGAAAATAAAGCATTCGAATATTACCAGAAATCTGCTGATATGGAGAGTACCAGTGGAATATATAATGTTGGTAATTGTTATGAAAATGGAATAGGAGTTGGAAAAGATGCATATATGGCATTCGAATATTATCAGAAATCTGCAGAGATGATTCGATTAATGAAGTTGGCGATTGTTATCTCTATGAAACAGGTGTTGAAAAAGATGAACATAGGGCATTCGAATATTACCAGAACTCTGCTGAAATGGAGAATTCTAGTGGAATATATAATGTTGGTTATTGTCATGAAAATGGAATAAGTGTTGAAAAAGATGAGAATAAGGCATTCGAATTTTACCAGAAATCTGCTGATATGGGGAATGCTGCTGCAACGTATAGTTTTGGGAATTGTTATCAAAATGGAATAGGTATTGATAAAAATGAACATAGAGCATTCAAATATTACCAGAAATCTGCGGAGATGGGAGACTCTGATGCAATAAATAAAGTTGGTGATTGTTATCTCTATGGAACAGGTGTTGAAAAAGATGGATACAAGGCACTAAAATATTATCAGAAATCTGCTGATATGGAGAATGCTGCTGCAATGTATAAGCTCAGAAATTGTTATAAAAATGGAATAGGAGTTGAAAAAGATGAACATAAAACATTCGAATATTACCAAAAATCTGCGGAGCTTGGAAATGCTAATGCGATAAATAAAGTTGGCTATTGTTATAAAAGGGGAATAGGAGTTGAAATGGATGAAAATAAGGCATTCAAATATTTTCAGAAATATGCGGAGATGGGAAATACTAATGCAATAAATAAAGTTGGCTATTATTATCAAAAGGGAATAGGAGTTGAAAAGGATGAACACAAAGCATTCGAATATTACCAAAAATCTGCTGAGCTTGGGAATGCTAATGCGATAAATAAAGTTTGCTATTGTTACCAAAAAGGAATAGGAGTTGAAAAAGATGAATATAAGGCATTCGAATATTGCCAGAAATATGCGGAGATGGTGAATGCTAATGCGATAAATAATGCTGGCTATTGTTATCAAGAAGAAATAAGAGTTAAAAAATATGAACACAAGGCATACGAATATTACCAGAAATCTGATGATATGAGGGCTGCTTCAATGTATGACCTTGGAAGTTGTTATCAAAATGGAATAGGAGTTGATAAAGATGAACATAGAGCATTCGAATATTGCCAGAAATCTGCAGATATGGGAGATTCTGATTCAATGAATGAAATTGGTTTTTATCTCTATGGAACAGGTGCTGAAAAGGATGAATACAAAGCATTCGAATATTATCAGAAATCTGTTGATATGGGTAATGCTGTTGCAATGTATAACCTTGGAAATTGTTATCAATATGGAATGGGAGTTGGAAAGGATAAGCATAAGGCATTCAAATATTACCAGAAATCTGCAGAGATGGGAAATTCCGTTGCGATAAATCAAGTTGGTGATTGTTATCTTTATGGAATAGGAGTTGAGGAAGATGAACACAAGGCATTCGAATATTACCAGAAATCAGCTGATATGGAGAATACTAGTGGAATATATAATGTTTGTTATTGTTATGAAAATGGAATAGGAGTTGAAAAGGATGCACATAAGGCATTCGAATATCATCAGAAATCTGCGGAGGCGAGTAATGCCTGGGCACTAAATCATGTTGGACTTTGTTATCAGAATGGAATAGGAGTTGAAAAAGATAAACATAAGGCATTCGAATATTACCGGAAATCTGCTGATGTTGGGAATGCTGTTGCAATGTGTAACCTTGGAAATTGTTATCAACATGGAATGGGAGTTGAAAAAGATGAACACAAAGCATTCAAATATTACCAAAAATCTGCGGAGATGAGAGATTCTGTTGCGATAAATAAAGTTGGTGATTGTTATCTTTATGGAATCGGAGTTGGGAAAGATGGGCACAAGGCATTCGAAAATTACCAGAAATCTGCAGATATGGATAATACTAATGGAATGAATACCGTTGGTTATTGTTATGAAAATGGAATAGGAGTTGAAAAAGATGCACATAAGGCTTTCGAATATTATCAGAAATCTGCGGAGATGGGGAATGATGATGCGATAAATGGGGTTGGCTATTGTTATCAAAAGGGATTAGGAGTTGGGAAAGATGATCACATAGCATTCGAATATTACCAGATATCTGCTGATATGGGGAATGCTGCTGCATTGTATGACCTTGGAAATTGTTATGAAAGTGGAATAGGAGTTGAAAAGGATATACGTAAGGCATTCGAATATTATCAAAAATCTGCTATTATGGATTATGTTGAAGGAATGTTTAAGTTGGATTTCGTTGTCAAAATGGAATAGGTGTTGAAAAGGATGAACATAAGGCATTTGTTTATTATCAAAAATCTGCTAATATGGGTGATGCTGGTGGAATGTTTCAAGTTGGAAATTGTTATCAAAATAGAATAGGAGTTGAACATATGGCATTCGAATATTACCAGAAATCTGCAGAGGCGGGTAGTGCCTTAGCATTAAATCATGTTGGACTTTGTTATCAAAATGGAATAGGAGTTGAAAAATGAACGTAAGGCATTCGAATATTACCAGAAATCTGCTGATATGGAGAATACTAGCGGAATGTATAACGTTGGGAATTGTTATGAAAATGGAATAGGAGTTGATAAAGATGAATATAAGGCATTTGAATATTATCAGGAATCTGCAGTGATGGGTAATGCTTTGGCAATAAATCGAATTGGGTATTATTATAGAAACGGAATTGGAACAAAAAGAGATTTAAAAAAAGCCGAATATTGGTTTCAAATGTAAGTTTTTAAAGAAAAAATAGATATAATATATATATATATATAATAGAATACTAATAATTCTAATTATAGGGAGAAACATAAATTTCGAGGTATATTTTTATTTTTACCGAATCTTTATACTTATTGATTATTAATTTGTAGAAATAAAGAAATTTTCTTATTTTGATGTCGATGATGCCGTAAAAAAAGTATTGGGTGACGAGAGATATCAATTATTATGGATTCCATATAATGAATTTAAAAATGTTCAAGAGATTGGAAAAGGAGGATTTGCAACTGTTTATTATGCCGAATTTAAGATTAATTATGAAGATTTTTATTCTAAATATTCATTTGCAATTAAAGAAATTTATAAGCAAAATTTTTTGGAAGAGGTAAATTTATTGAGTTTTGTTTAGTCAAAGTTTTTTATTAGAAGTAAAATTGAGTTTTGATTAGCATTTGAATTTATGATTAATGATTTATTTTTAAAGTTAAAGGCGTTTTGTGAAATCGGATATAAGAATCCATCGTTTTAAAATGCTACGGATTATCAAGAGATGATTCAGGGAATTACGTTCTTATCTTGAAATATGCAGAAAAAGGTTCTCTGCGTAATAATATTCACGAAGTATCACAAATGAAATGGAAAAATAAATTAAATTTATTAAGTTGTATAACATTTGATCTTGAAGCGATTCATTCTCAAGAATATATTCACCGAGATTTACACAGCGGCAATATTTTACAGGATAATATAAACAACGCATATATTTCGGATTTAGGATTATCGATTTCTAATTCAGAAAAAAAGAAAGATGGGATTATTGGGATTTTACCTTATATTGCACCAGAAATTTTGGAGGGAAACAATACACAACTGCATCCGATATTTATTCATTTGGAATAATTATGTGGGAAATCCTGTATGGAACTTTAGTATCTTATAGTCAAAAACTTACCACATCGCAGCTTCAGATTCAAATTTGCAATGGGTTAAGACCTCAAGTTAACAAAGAGGCTCCGCAATGTTATGTAAATCTGATGAAGGAATGTTTGGACAAGGATCCAAAGAAACGACCATCAGCAAAAAGACTTTGTGAAATTTTTGAGGAATGGCAATATGATGAAATTATCTTGTTGGAATTAAACGAATCCAAAGCTGTTCTTGAAAATATCGAAGAATCGTACGTTAGCGGTGGAAGCAAGTTTATACCTTATACTAAATCAATTTTGGATAGCGGATGTCGAGATTTATAATCGATGTTAATTAGTTATAATAATCTTTTTGTATTTACTTATTTTTAGTAAAATTTATAAGTACCATAACTTCTTGTTTATGTAAGTTATCTATATTATATGATTAATTATGTAATGGCAACGATAACTAGATCTTTAGATGTTGAATAATTCAATCCATAATTATTGTGGTTTGCAAAGTTCTGAAAGCCGCAATAAATCATTGTTATTCCACGTCCCAATATGATCGCATGACGGGGATTTGCATGTTATTAATCACATATTTTATCACTGTACTTTTTAAAATCCGATTTTATTAATTGTTATCACCCCGGGTTTGCTGTTATCACCCCGAGTTTGCTGTTATCACCCCGGGGAAATAACTGTTGTGCTGTGCCGAAGATATTTTAAAATTTTTATCGTATTCAGGTAAAAATTTTTTAAAATTGTCAATACGGAGCAAAAAAAACCTTAAAATTTAAAATTGTCATCGTATATAATTTAATAAGAATTAAATTTATTTCGAATAAATCTAATACATTAAAAATGCATATATTAGCAATAATCTATTACTAATTTGATTATTTATTGAAAGAAACTTTAATGTCAATATTGCAATTATTGCAATTTTCAACAATAATTTTAGGCGCACTTTCAACTAAATCAGAATTAGATGTATCTTGAACCGAATCAGAATTAAAAGATGAAGTTGTCTCCTGAACACACTCTTGAACACTCTCTAGAATATTCTTTTGATCCTTCTTTTGGACATTCTCTTTAACATTTTTGAGTGGGCTAATAAAAGGTTTCGAGGCATCATATGGCTTAAACGGTTTTGGCTTAAAAGTTTTAGACCGAATTGGTCGTGAAGTGTGATTAACTGGAAGAGACTTCAATGGTAATCGTGAAGAATCTATAAAAAAAGATATGTATTTGTAGTAATTATAAAATGGTTATTAACAATAAGCATAAATAATAAATAAACTTACTTGAATCTTGATTCGGTATAATCATTGAAACAGTGCTATTCATTATTTGGTTTGTGAATGTTTGATATGAAGCAACTCCTCCTATTGAACGGTATCCACTAAATGCCATTATACGATCAGTTGTTACATTAAGTTCGGTAAGTATTTGTATCGCACTTCTTCTCATAGAATGATTGGTTATTTTTTTATGATCCATATTAATGACCCCTGTCGTTTGGCAAATTTCTCTGATCATCCTTTCATGCGAATGTCGTCCAAGTGGAGCATCATAGAACCAAATACCTTTTTTAAAATCTGTAAATTCAAAAAAAAAAAAAGTAAAAATTAAAAATTTAATAAAAAATCCAATTAAGAATAAATACCATTAGAAGAAGCGATCTTAAGAAAAAATTCTTCTGATTTGAAATAAGTTCCTCGACGAAACATATAATATACAATATCTGAAACAGGGGCAAACTTATCATCCATATCAGGTGGTATTTGACATACCCGACCTGAATTGTTTAAATTTTTTAATCCACCTGCATGATTTTTTTCACGTGGAATTGTAATTTTTAGACTTTTATCTGCATCTACTTTCACATGATTGAACTTAAGCCGCTTCGCATCTCCACCTCGAAATCCACCTAGAAGACCTAACCAAAAATATACACGATACGTAATAGAGGTTGGTGTATCTTCTAGAAGATTCTTGTTATTCAAGATTTGAATTATCTCATCATGGGAAAGTGAATCACTTTTATTAGCTTGTCGAGGATTTGTATCTTGAACTAACTTTATTTTTCCATCAATTGTTGAATATAAACGTGGAAACTGGTTTTTATCGAGTATATTTGGCTTGGGATTTTGACAAGAATTCATTTGTAAATGACGGGCGATTCCACAATAACAATTATGAATTGACTTAGGTGCGTAGAATTGACCATCTTTTTTTCTTAGCGCCACAAAGAAATTAATAAGAATAGTTTCCAATTCAGAATGGTCATTGATTTGTGTAATATCACCCGTAAGGTTTGTATCTTTGAAATACTTATTAATTGTGTTGACCCAAGTTTTGGTATTATGGCTTGTATTCTTTACGCTTGCATAATTAATTGTATCATTGATATCACTTTGCGAAGGTGCCACAAATCGTATCTAAAAAAAAATATTAATACACAATTAAAAATAAAATAATATAATATATCGATATAGGTAAATATATACATAACCTCTTCGTCATTACCTTGATTAAGATCTACATTATCATCCTCATCGAAAGTAATATCCGAATTTGGTAAATTGTTTATTTGTTCGTGCAACCTCAGGTCATATAATTGTGTAGCTGTCATAAAATTTAAATCGTCTTGACTCATTATTTAAGCGAAAAGAATGGTAATAAAAAAAATCTAAGCAAGAAAATAATGTAATAAAAGAAAATCAAAGCGAAAAAGAAATGTAATAAAAAAAAAAAGTCTAAGCGAGAAAAAATCTCAGTAAATAAAAAATTCTAGCGAAAGAAAAATTTAGGTGAAAGAGAGTCAAAAGATCGATCTTGTAAAAAAATTCTTATTTATATATGTAGTCTAAAAGTTTGTTTATACAGTGATAAAATATGTGATTTATAACACTAATCCCCATCATGTCGTCATATAGACGTAGAATAACTCATTTATTCCACCGTGTCGGGGAAATAATTGATATAAAATCACCCCTGGCGGACCTAGAAAGTATGGTCATAGCACATGATCTGCCGCTTCGCGGCAGATCATGTGCTAGACCATACTTTCTAGGTCCGCCAGGGGTGATATATCATTATTCCCACCGTCCCGGGGAATAAATAGTACTTAATTCGGCACTTTACCCACATTCGTCATAATACCTGCATGTCGATCTACAAAAGCTAGCCAATCAAAATAAAAATTTGCCACGCTACTTTACTCTACGTAATTAACGTTAAGCACAGATCTTGCATCGATATTACTGCAACTGTACATACGTACGTACGTACATTATTTTTTTTTTTATAACAGATAATAAAAAAATTTTGAATTGATCGACTTTTACCCTCTTTTCCAATTTTATCAGTTGATATTCGACCATTCCTTTCACATTCTGAAGTTAGCACGATTTCAGCACGATGGGGCAGAATCTTGCTGTAGCTCGCGATAACTCTAGGTTCTTATTATCATCAAAAAAACGTTCTGCATTGTTAGTTTTTATTATTGTTGTCGGATACTTTATCAAGCAATATGTTGCGGAAGAAAAGAGAAAAAAAGCCGCTCAAGAGGCATCTAATTCCTCATCTGGACAAGACAAGAGCAGACGGACAAAGAAAATAGGTGTAGACGCGCGCTTTTTCGCACAGATTAAGAAGTTAATGCCAATTTGTATACCAGGTAGGAGAATCTTTGTTTTATTCACTTAAAGCGTTGGTTTCCTGTGTTTACACTTTCACATTGGTAGGTCTTGCCTCCAAGGAATCAGCACTATTAGTTAGTTTAGCATTGGTTCTAATTGCTCGTACTTGGCTTGATATATGGTAAGAATAGATAATAAAATCTAGTGTTACAAATCGAAAGTTGAAAAAATCGATTAGTTGGTTAGTTGACAACTAATCGATTGAATTTTTTAGATATCAACTAATCGATTAATCAATTAATCAACTAATCGATTAAAGAATTAATTGCTAATCGATTGAAAAACTATTTAATTTTTTAATTATTGCAAAAATGTGAAATTTGCAGATCAAAAAAAAAAGTAATCGATGATTTTTGGTTCTGATTGCTGATTTTTTTAATATTTTTTTGCAGAAATAAAAGTTGTAAATTTATAATTTTGTAACATATTTTGATTTAACATCTTTTGTAGAAATATATTTTGCATATTGTGTAATATTAAATTTTACTTCTTTTCTAGCCCGGTAAAATTTACTATTGCATGATAAGCAAGAAGAAAATTTAAAAGCTGCACTAAATTCTAGGGATGGAAAAAAAACAGGTTAAACAGTTTTTTAGATGTTTTAAAACTTTTAAAAAACTTTTTAAAACATTGGCGCTAAGACTAAAATTTATAATTTGGTACTAAAATGCCAATTCACCAAATTTTATAGAGAAAAATATTCACTTTATAAACTTTGCTTATTATATAATTACAAATGCTTAACTATTTATATATAATTTTTGTTTTTTTTTTTTTGTATGCTCCTTTTAATATACATAACTATAAATTTAATTATTGTCATCTTAGAACCAACTATCAATCTCAATTCCTTTTTAAATTCTTAAATTCTGATAGACTGCACCAAGTTTTTTTACCCGTTTATTATTTAATAAATTATTCATCTTTTTGGAAGCTTTTTTCTATATAAGTGATCCTTCAATCAAGTGACTAAATCCAAAAAGTCCTCTCTACCAGTGTTCAGAATTAGTGTTTTCAGAGTTCTCATGAGAACATGATTATAAGTTTGTGAACAGTAAAAATATTTTACTGTTCACTATTAAAATTTTTTTGAGAACAGTAAAATAAAAATAGTGTTCTTGTAAGTAGTAGATTTATGGAACACTTAAGCAATGACGTTATATGTTTACTAGTACTAAAAATTAGCCTAAACTATCCTATCATCTAACCCATATTCACCGATTTGATTTTTAGAGGTCTTTTTTCAATAAACAGTTACACAACCTTTTGACATGAAGATAACAAATGAAACATTCAATAAACCTAACTTTTTAGCCTTTATATAAGATAAACAAGCAATAAATACTAAAAAAAATAACTACACTAAGTATAAAAGAAAGTACTAACACTAGTTGTTGAAGCGTTCAGATATATTTGAGTAGTGAACAATTAGTTTGCTATTTGAACATTAGTTGTATAATAGGTAAGGGCGAATTCAGAAGTAATTTTTCAGAAAAATAGCCTTTTTAACCTACTGTTAGCTAATAATTAAGCATGTAAATATTGCAATATTCTACATACTTAATTATGGCTTCAAAGTAAGTTTAAAAGACTGTTTTTGTAAAAACTTATCTTATAATAAATTTTAATGACAAATAATTCTTAATTATGATTGGTTAATTTTGGGTTAAACCAAATCAGTGAATATGTCTAACTTAGACTGAATACTTATCATATAAGCGTGAAATAATACACAAAGCGTTATTCTGAATAATGGCTTGAATTAAGCTTAATTTAGGTCAAAATTCAAAATTACACTTCTGCATATTATTTCGCACTTATATGATACTCATGTGGTGAGATGACTATGAAAATATCACTAGATTCCTTAATCTTGAAACTACCTAATAGATGAATAAAGTAATACTTAGATGATAAAAGTTATATCACTAGTAAATGGAAACTGTTGTAAGTCCTGAGCAAAAATCACATATGCTAGATCAATAATTTGCTTTAAATAAACCTAGTTTTGGTTTAAATAAACCCAATTTTGGTTCAAATAAACCTGG